ACTGTGGGTTGGGTTTGTATGAAGTGCTGGGTTTGTAACTGTGGTGGCCCGTCCCCGCCTTTCCTTTCTCCATGTTGTGGCGGGAAGTGCCCATGAGGATGCCAAAACAGGCTTTTGTCTGGAATACAAGGTAATGTGCTCCTGGTGTCGGTTCATTTGGACGTGCCTGGTATCAGAGCTTGAACTGCGTACCTGTATCATACACGTTAATTAAATCCTGCATGATGACTGTGTGTATTTACCTGTACATAGTGAAGGTTTTAGCTTTTAAACCGAGAGCCCGATTCTGACTGCACAGTAGCTCTACAGCAGTTGCTTTTAGTTTGCATCAGTGCAAACTGAGAATCATTTTTTCCCCATGACGAGACACCTACGCTCACACGCAGGCTGGTTCCTGTGGGAAGTCAATGGGATTCTTTCTCTCAAAAGCAAATATTGAGGGAATTAACAGCTGCATGAGCCAGTATTTACCATTCAGGTAATAAATTACAACAGAGACTGCACAACATGCTGGTGTCCTCATCTTGGAGGAGCGATGTCCTGGAACGGCTCAGGCTTGCCCTGCTGTGAGTGGCCACAGGGCTATCGAGCTCCGGGCAGTCTGTGGCCCAGCTAAGCTCGGCTCCGTGCCCAGCAGCTTCCAAACCTCTGCCAGCCTGTCCCCGTCAGCTCTCAAAGTGCTTTCCAAACCTGAGTGAAGGAAGTTGCTCAATATCTTGGAAGGGAGACAGGTAAGTAGTTTTATTTTAACGCTGTGTTTTAGCAGGGCCTGGTGTAATAGGACAAGGGAGAATGGTTTTAAACTAAAAGAGAGAGGACTTAAACCAGATATAAAAGGAAAACATTTTTTTTGATGAGGGTGGTGAAACACTGGTTCAGGTTGCCCAGAGAGGTTGTGGATCCCCCATCCCTGGAAATATCCAAGGTCAGGTTGGATGGGGCTCTGAGCAACATGATCTAGTTGAAGATGTTCCTGCTCATTGCAGGGGGGTTGGACTAGATGACCTTTGAAGGTCCCTTCCAACCCAAACCGTTCTATGATTACTGCTGTTTGACATGATGTTCACTTGCCCCAGCTTAATAGCATTGATAGGACCCAAAGCAGTGCCATCCTACTCTTGGTTTCATTTTCAAGTTAATCCACAAAGACAAATCAGTTTGGGCCATGCCCTGAGCTGCTTCAGCACTAAACACAAGGAAGGCTTGATGGAAAATGACTCAGTTTTGAATTAAATGACATTTCTCAGCTTGAAATATCATCTGCCATGATTTGGCTGGAGATTTTCTAAAGAACTGGTAACAGCAAAAAGGGCATTGCTTACCTGAAATTGAAGAATTATCATGTTTAGGAGAAAATATGTTATTTCTAATCTTTCTTGATTATTTGAATTCTACTTTTGTTATTATAAGCCTATTAAGTGGGTGAAGAGAGCCTGCGACAACAGAAGATTCTGTTTTCAAAGTTCAAGGTGAGGACTTTGGTGAGCTGCATGTACCCACCTGCACGGCTTCATCTCATCAGAAACAACCAGCAAAATTGATAAATATTAAGAAAAAGTAAATCAACCTTCTTTTGCCAAAGCCAGCAGCTGGTACAATGCAGGAAGCACTTGCAATCTGAGAGCTGTGATTCACGTTATGCTCCAGAGAGGTTTCTCTCCCCTCTTCTACTGAGCATGAGGGAGTAGGTGGATACTCAGCCTCTGGCACACCAGCGACTTCACAGCCGTGCCTGGTGAAATGTTTGCTGCCTTGCTCCCAGTATTTGGAAAACCAGGAAGGTGTCACCTCTGTTAAATGGGCACACAGTCTCTTAATGACTCTGTGCCTCCACTCATTAGCCAGACGCCCCCCATCCAGCGCAGCTCCCCCCACGAGAGTTCTGGCTCAGCAGCTGCCACAGCACAATGCTCAGCTCCCTGTGGGGTGCAGGGCTGGTGTGGGGACAAGCCAGAGATGGAGAAGACACAAGGCCATGAGAAAACATAGTGACTAAGCAGCGTGGAGGAGCTGGAGAAGGTGAGAAGTGCAGGGTCATGAGCAGGGTGAAAAAAGCCTGGGGGTCAGCCTGCTGAGATTTTCCAGATGTAAAGAACAAATTAAGCCAAGCAAATAGGACAGCATTCCTGTGGGCAAATTACAAGACCAGTAAGTGTCGGGATGGGAAGGGGTGTCTCTGCAGCCTGGAGAGAGGAGCCAGCCCTGTGCCAGGCTGTAGTGCCTCCCCATAGGCCAGCTGCACCCGGGGCCGGGTCCAGCACCAGTGACCGGTGTTATCTGGCCATTCAGGTTCCACAGAAATGCTGTCACAGGGATTAAATGCTCTGCTACAGAACAGGGAACACTGTGAACCCAACGGGAGGGCAGGATCCCACTGAACTGGCTCCATTCTGTGTGGATGGGGAAGGGGAGAAAGGGAGAAAGGATGGCACAGGCGTAAGTGACTTGTTAGTCCATTTGCAAGTGATCCCGGGAAGGAAAATGTTGCAAACCTCACTGAGGACAGAGAAATAGTACAAAGGGACCTACAGAGAAGCAATAAATATGAGCAGGAAACAATAAAACGAGATGCAACTTGGAAAAAATACAAGGGAATACATGTGGGGAATAATATTTAGTAACAACTTCAGTGGGAGGAAAAGAATGGGAAAGCAGAAAATCTAGAGGGGAAAGAAGAGCTCCAGCAAGACCAAAAACGAACAGCTGATTACGCATTTTGAAAGGGAGGTGCTGAGGTTCATGTGCTGAGCTGGGACCCAAACCCCAGCTTGCTGTTCTGTGACGTTATGGGCTGCGTTTAAGCAAAAGCCTCTAATTGCAGCAAGCTCCACTTTCCCCTAATAAACGTGGCGATGGCTGGTAACAGCTGTACGGGGGCACGAAAACCTCCTGACAATGGGGAGGACTGGGCTTTGTCCTCTGATGGTGGCTGGCTGCTGGGCAAGCCATTTCAAAGTGTGTGCTGTGAGGGGTGTCGTGTCACCAGCAATGGTTTGGTGCTGGTCTCCTCCATGGCCCGGTGTTTTGGGCACTGTGGGTCAGTCGGACCCCCGTCTTGCTCCACGCTGGTGGGATTGGGTACAGCTGCCTTGGGGATACCAACACCGTGCTGGTGTGTGTTCTATAGGCAAGCCAGCACCAAGTCAGCCTGTATACCTTCTCCTGGCTTCCTCCCCCCATCACTGCTGCTTACCCTGCACAGCACCCCTGGCACGGCACAGGACCGACCACTTCAGTGCCTTAAGCAGGTACCAACACGTTCAGAAACAGGCAGCAAGAGAGCACACCCTACATTTGAAATTGCAAGTGAGCAAGAACATAAATTTAAGGGGTGTAAAGAGCAGGGGAAAAAAGGGAATTGTTTAGGGTAGTCTGGAAAGATGGAACTGAGTAATGGGATGAAACAGAGCAAGCAGAAAGGCGTATGGCCTCTCAGGGTGGGTTTCCTGAGCCGTGAGTCACCCTGCACTGAGCTGCAGGCCCCGTGGTGGAGACCCTCATGGGGAGCACTGGGCTGCAGGGTGGGCACAGTGACTGCAGGAGCGTTTCCATTGCTTCTCACAGCCATATACACGGCTAAAAATGTATTTATGGGCCACGTAGCAGGTTTAGAAGTGTGGCTGTGATTTTTTTTTTTTTAATCCTCGGATTTTTAGGTTCTTGCATTGTAAAGAGAAGGGGAAGACCAGCTCTCCAATGGAACATTCCTGGGCAGGACCTGAGAGGCACTGTGCCCGTCCCTGGCTGCCATGGGACAATGCCAGGCAGCAGCGCTGCACCGGGGCTCTCCAGTTACTGTATTGCACGTGGGACTATTCCTGCTGAGTTACAACTATCGAGACCTTGGTCTCAACTCGCACTGTAGCCTATAAAAAACCAAATGCAGCTTTCCTGACCCCCACTTGTGCTTGCTCAGTGTTTATCAGCAACAGCTTCCACACGCTCTTTCCCCAGGCCATCCACAGTCACCATGTGTAGCAGAAAAAAAACACCTTACCCCCTCTCCAACAAGGAGGAAAAAAACCCCAACCACAAACAAACATACAAAAATATGAGGAAAAACATTTTGACACAAACCATTGGCCTCTCCTGCTCCTCACCTCAGCACATCTGCTCCAAGCCATGGCTGACCTCCCCGCTTCCTTCCCTGCCAGCTTTCTGCTTCCTGCCCTGCTCCTTTGCCTCCCCCGGGCAGCAGGAACCCGTGGCATTTTGGGACACTCTACATACAGACTGACCAGGGCTACATTTTTTTCCAGATTGATATTTCCTATTTATTGGAGTTATCAACGTGCAGCTCCAACAGGGCCCAGTTTCCAACCCGTGCCCTTTCTGTCCCCCAGCTGCCCACCTCCTGGGCCTCGCAGCATCAGCAGCGCCAGTGCCAGCATCCCCAGTGGCAGGAGTGGCAAACACTGGGACAGTGAAGTGGCCCTGTCCCAGACTGAGTTATTTATGCCCCCAGCACGGCGTGGGTTTGGGTTTTGTCTCAGTTTGCACAAGAGAAGGGTCCCGGTGCAAAGGGAGGTGGGACCAGCACCGTGACTTAGTTACAGACTCAAAATGCTCATCTGGGAATTGTGAACCCAACTGAACCCCAAATCCTCTCAAAATGCCATTTGCTGCAGAGTGTTTGGTGTTATTTGGAAAGGGGGAGCCGGGTGGGGCCATGAGCTCAGCCCATCTTGGTCCCCAGCCATCCCTGTGGTCACTGGGACACGAGGGGTCCCCAGCTCAGCTGAAGGTCCAATGTCCCCCCCCAGCTCCCCTTCTCTTCAAACAAGCCCCCTCAGCTATACTCCCCTGGGGCACGACCTTCACTCACATAAATTCCTGGGTTTACTCTTGTTCCATAAAAACAGAGCCCAAAATCCTGCCTTTTGCCAGGGTCTGGAGAACTGAGCTGGTCTGATGTGCTCTTGAGGACAAAGAAAAGTAAAGTAGTGACTGAAGGGGAAAAAACCAAACCCACCAAAAAACAACAAAGCAAACAAAACCAGTCACACCATAAAGTATTTATTAAGAAACAAAGGGGGACTTTTTTCTTCATTTGTAAGAAACACTTTAAAGCAAGTGCCCTTTCAGAGATTTAAAAGCTATATCAAATGGTAACATTGGTTTTACATTATTGTACATGACATTAAAAAAAACCCACCACATCTCACAAACTTCCTTTTATTACAACTTAGGTTTCTCCGCCTTCGGTTGTAAATTAATTTCTACAGACTTAAATTTAACTTATTCTTTTTTTTTTTTTAAACAAGTAAACAATATACAAAGAGGTTCACCTGAATTTCATAGGTCAGAGGAGGTGTCCTTGCCAGGGCAGGTGCAAGGCAGGCAGTGCGTGCTGGGGGGGCAGGAGCTGACTTGGGTCACAGCTGGGAACACAGGGATGAGCCTGTTGTCCGGCCACGCTGTGACAGGCCAGGTCTCACCTGGGGACAAGCACCACCAGCTCCTGCTGGAGCCACCAGCAGCTGAAGGCACCCGAGCCCACCATGCCTGATGCCAACTCAGCTTTGGAAGGTCAGCGTGGGCAGGCAGAAACCTAAATCCCCATGAGACCCGAGTGCATGTTGGGTCCTTCAGAAGCCTGGCGGCACCCAGCTCTGGTGCACCCACTGCCTTTGGAGATCCATGGAGCTGTGTGGGCCGAGCAGAGCAGTCACCCATCGCCTCCAGCAGCTGGTCATTGCCTCACTGAAGCCACCCAGCCTGGCTGGGGGGAAGCTGGGTCCCACAAGCCAATCCTTCTGTCCAGGTCCTACACGCTGAAGGGGCGACGATGGCAGCCAGGAATGGCAGGTCTGGGATAAATCATCTATTCATTTTCCATGTCAGTGGTCAGACGGTCGCTGCCCGCTGCAGGCTGCCTGCGTGTGGCACGTTCCCAGTAAACCACTGGATTTGGCAATGCTTCCCAGTAAACCACTGGATTTGGCAACGCTTCCGCACCCAGGCAGGATTTAAAAAACAGAGGTACAAAAAAAATAGTAGTATCACAGTTATTGCTACATACTGATACAGTATCAGACAATAAGAAACCTTTTATCAGCTCTGCTCTGGTCGCAGTAATTGCCCAGGTCTGGTACATGCCCTCGGTCCTCTGTTGCGGCGTTTTGGCTGAAGAACAAATGGATGGAAATGCAGAGAATACTTTTTTTCTTTTTTTAGGGGACAAAAACCAGCCTTAAATAGTTTATTGCATCTGGGATGCTAGACTACAATTAGTACACTCTGATTGTTCCCAGCACGCTGCTGCCTCTGCAACCCAGAGAGGTATTTTTTCCCCAGATGAAGCAAAGCAAGACAGAGACAGCAGCTCCAGCCCAAAGTGACCCCCTCCCCAAGTATCCTGCCTTCTCCCTGACCCCCGCAGCATCACAGGGAGCCACAGGCACCTTCATCCTTTGGTTGGGCCTTTTCCTTCTTTTTAAATACAGCTGTGCCTTCCTACTCCTCTGCCCCACAGGGGAAGAAGAAAAGGGGATGGGTTTCAAACCCCCTCCGTGCCCAGGTTGGGGTGGCTTTGTGTGACCCCCAAGGGAGCAGGGCTGGGGACCCGGGGTGGGATGATGGAAGGACGAAGCCTGTTTTTCTACGAAATTCCCTTTGAATTTTTTTGCCTCGATGGCAAGCAGGGCCCGGGGCTGACAACTTCGTGCATGTTCACACGGGTTTACTGTTTCATGGGAAGTGAGGTTAAATCAGGCGTGTTTGGAGTCACAGTACGGCCTCTCTCTGGAAAGGCAGCTTCAGCTGTACCAAAAAGCTTTGCTGAGCACCAGGAACAGCGAGCACCTCGTACCCTGTCTTTTAGTAAAAAAGTTCTCAAAGATAAACAAAGTCTGTGCAAACCACTACTGGGTCCTGATCTCGAGGCAAAACCAAATCAAGGGTTTCAAGTGCACTGGAAAGAAGAGCCGAATAACTCACACTCTTCTAATTCCTACATAAATACCAGGGACAAGGAACATTGGTCTTTGCAAGACTCAGCCTTTTGTGGCATTTCACCCCGAAGTGGGGGTGAAGCAGAAGGAGTCCCAGCACCCAGCCCGCAGGGATTGCACGGTTCGGCTCTCGGTTGTGATTGTCTGTAAAGCAACGGGGAAACGTCACTAAGGAGCTGGTAGAGGAGAAGAGAGGTTTCTTAAGTACTGCGGTCTTGTACAGTGTAACAAAACTCTTTTTAGGAATTAATTAGGCAAATACTTCTGACCATGTCATACCTGAAGGGCACTTAATGGCTCCGGCATTTATCTTGCAAGTACAGCGATCTGAAATGCATTTGCATTTCCAGCGTAATCCTCCGCCGCTGTAAATCATGCACTGGAATGAGAGCGTGTCTGGCAACGCTAATTCAGAGATATCATCCTACAGTTCTGGCAACGGACCCCGATGAAAATAAATGGTTTATAAACACTGTCTGACATGCATGAGCCTTTCAAAATTATTTACAAGTGATGTCCTGGGAGCTTTGTTCCGAGGAAGTATTTCTCCTCCGTTCAGTTTTGATATCAAAATCTGTCGGGCGGGGAGGGGCTACACAGTCACAGCCGGGTACATCTTCTGATCGCTGCTGGCGTGCGGGTAGGGGGACTGGATCTGCCTGTAGCCGCTCTGCAAACCGTCGAGGAAGGGGGGCACGGGGGTGAGGGGCATGGAGTCGTGCTGCATGGCGTAGCCCACGTACTGGGGGTGCAGGTACTGCCCCTGGTGGGGCACGATCTGGGTAGCCTGCTGGCAGTTCAGCACCGAGAAGTTGGTGGGCATGTTGACGTAGACGTTATTCATGGTCCCTTCTGGCAAACAGCAGTTGGTCTGGGACCTGGTCGGGGGGGCTCTGGCCCCCGAGTTGGCGCTGGAGCTGGAGCTGGCGGCGGTGCTCGACTGGCGGGAAGAGGAGCCCCGGGAAGTGCTGGCACTTGGGATCATGGGGATGGTCTCCATCAGGCGGGTGCCCCCGGGGGCTCGGCTCTGCTGGGGCTCCTGTTTGGGCCGCAGGCATCTGCAGCAGCAAGCTGCCACCAGCGACCCCAAGATGATGAAGGCGACAAATACAGATCCAACAATAAGGAATGGCACGTAGATGGGCACTGCAACAGCAAGGAAAACGTCATCACTGGGGGGACAAGGACAAGCCTCAGAGGCTCTGGCAGAAGGTCCCATCCCCCAAGCCCAGCCCACATCCCCTCAGCACAGGTCAGCGCAGGGTGAACACTAAACGCCATGTGTGCAGCTGAGCATTTTGCACAGGGAGGGTGAAAAGGGCTTCTCAAACCAACAGCTGGAGTTTCCAAAAGCATCTCTGAAGTTGTTAGCGGGGAGGAAAGCCCACAGCTCATGCCTCGAGGGAGGATGGCTGGCTCCTGTTGACGGTGGTCTAGTCCAACTCAACCACCGTTCCACCTCTCACCAGATCTTGTCTCCAGTACACCCCACTAGAAAAAGCAGTGCCATAGGGAGATACTCTGGGGGTAGGATCCCTGATCAGCGATTGAGAGCACCAGGGTGATCAAACCCCGGTGCCACACCACATCCCTCCCCATCGCCAGCCCTCTTTGGCTGCTGTCACCCTTGGGGCAGGGGGACAGCCAGGCAGTGACTGGGCAGCAGCTAGGGGGGCTTTGCCACCCTGCAGCCCTGGGGATGAGTGTCCAGCTGCTCTGTGCTTCAACCCTGCGTTTGGGGAGAAACCACAGGGTGGGCAGTGGGGCAACAGCACCACCCTCCAAAGCTTCGCTACCAGCAGAGGGGCAGCATCCCTCCTTGAGAGGCTTCATGATGGGACATCAGAGCAGGAGGAGCAAGGGTGGGAGCAGAAAGTACATGGGATGCTTCAGTGGTGGGATCGGAAGCCCAGCAAGGTGGATGGCGAGCACCATCCTTGGGAGCACCTGGACTCTGGTCACTCTGCACTCCCAGGGAAAAAGCTGTTTTCTCCACCTTAGTAAAAAATCTACATGGATATATCTGGGAATAACAAGGGGGAAGGTGCCTCCCTTCAGCACTTGTGAAGGCTCCCAACAACATGCCTGAGCTTCATCATTTCCACCAAAACCCGGCAGCCCTGAGACTCGGGCAGGGCTGTGGACATGACTGCGGGTAATGCAGCCTCTGCCAACCACATGCCCTGGGACAGGGGACACAGCTGTCCCTCCCATGAGTTAACCTGTGCCAGCGCAGGGCCATGGCTCCCAAACTGCTAAGTGGTAATTATTATTTATTAAGAAAAACGCCTTGCTCTCTGACCTGCAAAGCGGGTTATCTGCCCGCTCAAGTCAGAGTACCTCCTTGCACAGCTGAGTACAGCAAGTTATTAACCAAAAGGCCACAATTCTCCTATTTTCTTCCGGTATTTTTGCACTTTTCAGACAAAAGGCTTGTAAATTTTATCTCTACTTCTGCCCTTGGTGCTGCAGTAGCTCCCTGGCAGGTGCGTGCACTTGCTACAGACTGTAACGCACGAGTTTTACAAGAGTAAATCTGCCCTAATTATAACATCACTTCAGGCTACTGCTGGTGCGTTCAGCATGTGGGGATGGCAGCGAAGGTGCTGGGAAGCCACCGAGGCTTTTTGTTTTTTTTTTAAACAGCAGCAGAAAGACCCGAGTTTATCCTTGAAACTCAGCCTTGTAAAAAGCAGTCCTGAGAGGGGGAACGTGAGCTGGAGGAACACACGCAATTAGAGCGGGGACCGGCCAGGAGGAATTTTGAGATGTCATGTTACTTTTCTTGGTTTTTTTGTTGTTGTTCATATGGGGTTTCGGTTTTTCCCTTCCCTTTTTAACTGGGCGCACACGGGGCTGAGAGGCCGGCTCGGGGCGGTGGCGGAGCCGCACACGGTACCGGAGTGTCCGAGGCTGCGGGAAGGCGGTGTCACCCCCTCCTAAAAAAAGACCGGGCTGGACTTTTCAAACAAGAGGGAGGGAAAAAGAGGAGTATCCACGCGTGGGGACTCTTCCCCGTATAACAGCGGCAGAAGGGCTCGGCTGCCCCCACCTCCCTTCCTTTCGCCCCACGGATTCCCCGGTGGAGGCCACCGGCGACAAGGGGAAGGAGCGGGCGGTAAGTTTGCCGCAAACCCAAGGAGGCTCCCCCGGAGCCACCGATCCTCGGGACACCCCCCCGATTGCCGGGCCAGCCGCCGTGCCGGTGCCGCCTCACCTGCCGCCCCGTCGGGGCCGTCCTTGCCGGGCCGTCCCGCCTCGCCGCCCCCCTGCCGCCGGTCGTTGTCGCAGGCTCCCTGGTCCAGACGCGCCTCGGGGCTGGAGCAGCAGTACCGGAGGGCGCAGCTGCCGCAGCAGATGGTGGCGTCGCCGCCGTCGAAGCGCTCGGGGCACTGGAAGCCGTCCCGCCAGCCCCCCTGCCCGTCCAGCCAGCCGTGGCAGTACTCGCCGCTGGCCGCGGCCCCCGCCGCCAGCAGCAGCAGCAGCAGCCAGCCC